TACTCTCCCTCTCTTGCTCCCTCCCTCTTCCCCTCAAATAAAAATATATGAAAAAATAATAAAAAACCAAGATCTGATTGTGTTCCAGGTAAACTGAAAATCCCCCCACTGCTTCCCAGTGGGTAAAAGGTTCTAATCCATTATAAGCCCCTCACTGATTTCCCATGGTCTGCTTCATGCAAGCCTTCCCCGCTGTACTCTAGTAGAGACAAATGCCACAAATGCCCACTCTTGCTCTGAAGCTCAACCCATCTTTGGGGAAAGCTTGTCTCCTGTATTTTCACTGGGAATATATTTAAGTTTCAGCCCAAATGTCACCTCTTAAACCCTGCTGGACCTCATCTCTCTAGCCAGAATTAATCTTCTCTTGTGAACACTTCTGTGGAGCCTTTTTTAGCCACTAGACAAATATGCCAGGCACGGTGCTATCGCCTAGCTTGGGTCATTCTGCATGAGGCCAGGGCCCTACTTAGCATGTGGGGCACATCTGGGTGAATTACAGACACACTCCCCTTCATTTTTCTGGCTGGCACAGCCCCTGAGCCAGGGCAAAGGCTTGTCAAATGGAGTCTGTCCAAACTACAAGCATAAATTGTGACTCTATAGTGACCCTATAACTTAGTGCTTTGTATTAGAGATGTGTGGGTTGAGGATGCTTTGTATACTGAGCTCTTTGATGGCAGCATCTGCTGTTTCTCAACACCCAGCTTACACATTGCAGGTGCTTAGTACATACCTATGAAAATTGGGGAATACAGTCAAAGAATGTTTCCTAGAACCTTTCTATGGGTGCTGGGGAAGAAGAGGCAGAGGAAGAGCTAAGAGTGTTTAAAACTTTTTTATGAGATAGAAACCACTCTCTTCATATGACCAGCTGAGACCTGTGCTTTGCAACCTTGGCTGTACATTAGAATCACCTGGGAAGCGTGGCCAACTACGCATGCCCAGACCAAGTCAATCAGAATCTCAGCTGTGGGGCCAGAAAGAGTCTGTCTTTTTTTTCCCCCAAGGTGATTGATTTCAATGTGTAGCGGAGAGGGAGTACCACTGAACTGGAAGGACTTGGCAAGGGAAGGTGAGAACTTGTGCTCTTGTTCTGTGTGAAGAGAGCTCTGCAAAACATAAAAGGTACAGACTAAAACAATATCGATAGCGGGCTGGGACAGGTGGGCAGACGCTGGGTGATAGCAGATCTTTCCTGTGTCTGGCTTGCATGGCAACAGCATTATATTGGTGGCAGCCCTGGGAAGGGAAACATGGACGCTGCCACATGTTTGAAAGCTCAGGAAGCCAGCCCGCAGCTGTTGAGCTGACTGTCCCCGGGCTTCCTGAGGACTAAACGTTTTCTTCCACAAGTTGTAAAAATAAGCAAAGAAAAAGTCCCTTTGGCCTGTGAGATTTACTCTAAGACAGTGGTTCTCAACTTGTGGGTCGCGACCCCTTTGGAGGTCAAACGACCCTTTCACAGGGGTCGCCTAAGACCATCCTGCATATCAGATATTTACATTATGATTCATAACAGTAGCAACATTACAGTTATGAAGTAGCAACGAAAATAATTTTATGGTTGGGTCACAACATGAGGAATTGTATTTAAAGGGCCAGAAGATTGAGAACCACGGCTAAGGTCGCCTTCTTTGTTTTATACTGTGGACTGCTGAGATGGAGTTTGCTCTGTCTGGCAAATGCTGAATCTGCTGAGCCTAAAAAAGTACTTGGAGGATGACAATTGGATAGTGCAAGATGAAGATACAAGGAGGGGCATCGTAATGTTTGCAGTAATTTTTTTAAAGGCCAGAAGCCACTGCAGGCCTGCACTCAATTCTAGAACTCTTCCTGGCAGACAGAAAGGACTTCTTAGAGGGAGGACAGTAAACTTGGTCCTGTCAGGGGCAGGAAGTTGGCAGAGTGACCCTAGCAAATGCCCAGTGAGAGAGCCCTGGTCAGAATTTAGCTGAAAAAAAAAAAAATGTTTTTTAGCAGCTTTATTGAGAGATAATTCACATACCACATGCTATTTCACAAATATAAGCCCTGAGCCCATAGTTAATTGAGTCTGCCTTACACTTGAATATGGGCATTTGCTGGTTATTAGTTTTTATGCGGGCAGACATATCAAGGGCAAATATCAAGTTCATGAAACATGGTTTATAGTGGAACAATCTGGAGCTTAGGGACTTGTGTTCTCATTTGAAATCCTGTGTTTTGGGCAAATCAAGCTTCTCGGGTCTAGTTTCTCTGTCTATAAATGAAGAGGTTGGCTGTGATCTCTTGGGTAACTTCTAGCTCTGTGGTGCTCTGCAAGGGCACACGCTGAACAAGCTGGAGGTTTGTAGTCAATGTATCGGAGCCCTGGCTGGTTTGGCTCAGTGGATACAGCATAGGCCTGCGAACTGAAGGGTCCCAAGTTCAAGTTTGGTCAAGGGCACATGCCAGGTTGTGGGCTTGATCCCCAGTGTGGGGCATGCAGGAGGCGGCCGATCAATGATTCTCTCTTATCATTGACGTTTCTCTCTCCTTCTCCCTTCCTCTCTGAAACAAATAAAAATATATTGAAAAATGCATTTGATGGCACAAAGGTGGGTGACAGGAAAATGCAGGAAGGAAAGACAGAGAAAGACCACGGGTTTGGAGAAACTCTTCAGTCTGTGATCTCACTTGCCTTTTGTAAAGAACCCTTGGCGTCTAAGTTTCTAAGACAAAAGTCACTCTCCCAGGGCTGAGACTGACAAAGAGAGAGAAAAAACAACAACAACAACAAATAAAACACCAGTTGGTTGTGCCCCCAGGAAGTGAACCCGCAACCTGGGTATGTGCCCTGAATGGGAATGGAACCCATGGCCCTTAGGTGCATGGATGACACTCCAACCAATTAGCCACACTAGCCAGGCCCCAGCTTTATTTTTGAGTTTGTATCGTCTTCTTCGAAAACTGTCAGATGTGTCAGCTGACTGACCTTAAGGTTCTGCCTACAGCTACCCAGCATCCTTTTTCCATTTTCTGAAGGTAATTAGCTCACAAAACGATTGAACCATGACCTACCCAGTATTCAGACATGTTATTACATTACCTCTGCATTGCAGCCAACAGGTTACTCAACTCAGAGACTGATAATCAGGGCTTTAGATCACAAATGAGCTCCTCTGTCAAGTAGGAATTCTTAATGTGGGGTCTCCTGAATTCCAGGAATTTCAGTCCCATGATGTGTCCACGAAGCTCCTGAAAAGGGCAGGGGCGGGGAGCAGGGGAGGGGGGAGGGATAGGGGGAATTCCGTGCTAAGATATATGCATGCCTTTTTGGTACAGAAAGTCTAAAGGGGCCACTGATTTTCAAAGAGAAGGTTGACTCATAAAAGGTGAAGAAACTCCTGGAGTAGACTAGATGGCCTTGAAGGTTTCCTTTGAGTCTCAACGTTCAAGCTTCTTTGAATGAAGGCTCTCCTACAGATACCAACTTACATTCTCCTTCTTCAGCAAAGAAGCCGGTCCAGAAAGCAGTGGTGTGGCAGGAGCTCCTGGGGAAAAAGGAAGTGCATTTGTGTATGTTGTCAAGTTCTGCTTGGAGTGAACTCAGAGGGAAACGTCTCTGACCAACTTCTCCATTCAAGGAGAGAACCAGGGCCATGTTTTCACAGAAGAAGAAGCAGTGACTGGGATGCTAATTCCGTTTCCTGGTGGAAGGAAGACAAAGGGCTGCAGCAATCTGTACTAGTCAGCCTCAGATCCCTTGGAGGGAAGACAGTGGTCCCTAAGCTCCCATTCCAAGACTGTGGAGACTAGCTCTGCCTCCTTACTTGTTGCCTCTGTGTGAGACATAAGATAAATTTACTAAATATCTTTGCAATGAAAATCTTAAATACCTAGAAAGGTAGCTTTCTGGAAAGCTTTTCCATTGAAGTACTCAGACAGAATTCTGTCACCTCCTTTTTTTTAAAAAAAAAATATATATATTTTGTTGATATTTTACAGCGAGGAAGGGAGAGGGATAGAGAGTTAGACACATCAATGAGAGAGGAACATCGATCAGCTGCCTCCTGCATATGCCCCACTGGGGATATGCCCGCAACCAAGGTACATGCCCTTGACTGGAATCGAACCTTGGGACCCTTCAGTCCACAGGCCGATGCTCTATCCACTGAGCCAAACCGGTCAGGGCAGTCACCTCACTCCTTGAAGAACTCACAGACCCTAAGCTCAATCTGTGTTGCTATGTAGGCAAAAGTGGCTATTGTTTCTGCATCATCTCCCATGTCAGGCTCTTGGAAGTCTGTTCCTCCCTGTCCATTTCCCCCTTTCTGCTGAGCCCTCCCCAGCACATAGGGAATCAATCACCAATATGCACCCATCACTGTCTGAAAACTGCCCCTGCCTTGGTGATGACCAACCTGCTGCTGTGCTGCATGCCATGATGCTAGTCACCTGGAGGGAAGGGACTTCAGAAGACACTTAGACCACATCAGTGGCTCCCTCCAAAGGAGATTTTTACCCACAGAAATCTTTAAACAAGGGTACGTACACCCGGATGATCATTGCAATGATGTTTGCAAAAACCTCTTTCCATTGATAGGGGAATAGTTGATTATTGTGGTGCATCAGCACACCGAGGCAGGTAAGATGTATTCAGGGTGATTTCATCTTTGAGCTGTTTGCCTAATTTAACAAATATTTATTAGTACTTACTATGTGCCAGGTAGTCTGATACTGAGACCAGAGAGAGAGACCAAATAGACACATCTCTGACCACATAGAACTTCTAGTCTGACTGCAGGAGAATTCGTTCCATCCATTCATTCTGTGAACATTTATGGCATCTACTTTATCAGGTACTATTTTAGTCCCTTTGAATAGAACAGTGAGGAAGCAGATGAAACCCTTATTCTGACAAAGCTTGTGCCATTTGTCAGAGGGGAATGCTTTATTGATAACTTAAAAAGAATGTTCTAGAATAGTATATATAAGTGATAGACCTTTTTTCTTTACCTTAAAAAAGTCTGGGAGACCCTCCTCTTCTTGCTAAGACCTGGCACATGGTCCTGGTCCCAGAACTATATGGAGGCAGAGGGAAAGCTCTGCCCCTGGTATCAGGTCTTTGTTGCCCATGGTTTCCAGTCCCCTGGTTCTATCGTCAAGTGAAGGGACACCGGTTAAAAAAAAATCTGGAAAAATATACCCAAATGAATACGTTTACCCCACAGGAGCAAATGGTCAAGATATAGACTTTCATTTTTTCCTTTGTTAATGTAAAAAAACCATTGAAACCTGTAAAGAATTTTTGTGAGTTTATCTGAGCCAAAATGTCGACATATGCCGGGAAGCAGAACCTCAACGAATTGAGATAGTGCTCCGGAGAATGGCAGGGTTACATCCGTATTTATACATGAAATTCATTGGTGACACATTTAAGGAGGTGGGATTAAACGAAGGGGGGGGGGGGGAACCTCTGTGATAGGATAAAAAGTAAAATGATGGACACATACTTAGTTGGGTGCAGGATCAATTAACATGATAATGAAGGAATTTGTAGTATCTGTCCTGGTGCCCAGAACATTTGGTTGTGCCCCAGGGGCTCCAGAAAAAGGGAAGTTACAAGTTACCCAGACATTTCAAGGGTATGTTATCTTAGAGGCAAAAAGGCAAATGGGCTCAGTAAGGATCAAAGTTGATCTTGTCAGTGAAGATACTGGCTTAGAACATAACTGCCCACCGTAACTGCTTTTAGTTAAAGTTTAATTTCAGACCATCCTGTGTGGTTATTTTAGGTCTCTGAGTCTGCTAGGCTGCCACGCAGGCCTTCCCTGAGCTTGTCAGGTCAGCGTGTGGCCCCTTTCGTCCACACCTTTTAGGTGATTCTGTAAGGATTCCATGATCTCCATTTCCTTTTGTAATGAAAAGGCACGGTTAAGCATTACAGCAGTGTTTTCCTGCCTGCCCCCCACTTCATAGAAAGAAACGAAGGCTGCTCTGTCTGTGGCGTAGCCACTCTGTCACAGTGCTTCACTAACAAACTCTCTTTCACTTAAAAAGAAAGAAAGATATGAAGCCTGGGACAGGTTAAGTAAATTAAAGGTCAAGCTGTCAGTGAACTTGAGTGGGATCCACTTTCCATCAAGTACTTGGAATGAGACAGATGGCAGAAAGAGGAACGAAAAGCTGCGACCAGTGCCCTGGAGATGACAAGTGGTAACTTAATCACAGTGTAATAATATTGAATATATGATCTGTTTATGGAAGTGCGTTAGGGCTTTTTTTCTCTCCCAGAGCTCTGCCTAAGAGACTCATGGGCTGCGAAAAGAGGGGCCCCTTTATCTTTTGAGACTGAAAAAGTAAGGTCTTACTATGGTTTATCTGTCTTTCCTTTTTCTAGGTTTGAAATTCTGGAAGCAGAAATTCAAGCGGTTCCTTGTTTGTACTTCCCTTTATGGTGCTGCACAGGTGTTGTGTTATTTTTTATAAACTGAAGGCAGGGCCCTGCCACAGCAAAAAGATCCAGGCTAACTTTATTGTGCGTGGTCTAGGAGTGATCCCGCATCATCTGCATGGTGTGCTGCAATTGACTTCGGGGTGTCCCTCGAGCTTATTTCCATTTAAATTTAAATTTTATTTTCAATCTTTTTCTTAGAAAGTTTTATCAAAGCTAAAATTTATTTGGTGCATTTTCTGTGCTTGCTATCGAATACCTTCACATACACTTTTGCCTTTAATATGCAAAAGCAACCAGATGAGGTATTTTACAGGCTGAAAAAAACAACATAACAAAAACCTACTTCATTTTCATTTAAATTAAAAAAATTAAACTAAACCACATTACTTTGTCTCCAGATTTCTATTGAGAAAGTGTGGATCCTTCTGGAGATAAGTTGAGATGCCTTAAATCTGTTATTTTTAAGGTTTTCCACCAACCTTTTCTGGGACTCAGTGGGAAGTGGGGAAAAGGACAGTTGCACCATTAGGGTGGAAAGTTCTCAAGCTTAAGGATGGCTCAGATTTGGGCCGATTTTTCTGGAACCTGTGCAAAGAGCAGCATGAGTCAGAAATGTTAGTTCTAGGCTTCTGGATCTTCTGTAGTTACATTGACTGGAACTATTAAGGGCATTCCAAGTTACTCATTTACTCACAGTAATGATTTTCTTTTATTAGTTCTTGCTGAAATTCCTTCTGCTTTTGGTGTGACTCTCTTTTCCCAGAGAAAGCAGTGAGCTTTTTTTAAAACCTTTTTTTAAAAAAACCTTTTTAATTATTTAAACTAGTCATGTATGGTGGTGGTGGTGGGATTTGTTTAAAATGCGTATTACTCTAGTGGGTTTGGCTCAGTGGAAAGAGTGTCACTCCTCAGACTGAAGAGTCCTAGGTTCTATTGCAGGTAAAGGGCATATACTTCAGTTGCAGGCTCAATCCCAGCCCTGGACAGATGGGGCGCATGTGAGAGGTGTTAACATAAAAAAACCATTGAAACCTGTAAAGAATTTTTGTGAGTTTATTTGAGCCAAACTGTCGACATATGCCGGGAAGCAGAACCTCAACGAATTGAGATAGTGCTCCGGAGAATGGCAGGGTTACATCCGTATTTATACATGAAATTCATTGGTGACACATTTAAGGAGGTGGGATTAAACGAAGGGGAGGGGGGGGGGGGGTGGGGGGGGGTGGGTGGTGGGGGGTGGGGGGGGGGAACCTCTGTGATAGGATAAAAAGTAAAATGATGGACACATACTTAGTTGGGTGCAGGATCAATTAACATGATAATGAAGGAATTTGTAGTATCTGTCCTGGTGCCCAGAACATTTGGTTGTGCCCCAGGGGCTCCAGAAAAAGGGAAGTTACAAGTTACCCAGACATTTCAAGGGTATGTTATCTTAGAGGCAAAAAGGCAAATGGGCTCAGTAAGGATCAAAGTTGATCTTGTCAGTGAAGATACTGGCTTAGGACATAACTGCCCACCATAACTGCTTTTAGTTAAAGTTTAATTTCAGACCATCCTTTGTGGTTATTTTAGGTCTCTGAGTCTGCTAGGCTGCCACGCAGGCCTTCCCTGAGCTTGTCAGGTCAGCGTATGGCCCCTTTCGTCCACAGAGGCAACCAATCAATGTGTGTCTCTCACATCTCTCTCACATTAATGTTTCTCTATGTCTCTCCTCCTTTCTTCCACACTCTCTAAAAAATATAAATAAAATGAAATCAATGGAAAAATACCCTGGGGTGAGGATTAACCAAAGAATAAAGATACCAACACATAATAAATTTAAAAATGCTTATTTTATGTTTGGGTCACCTTCAGAAAATATTTTACAGTATTTTGTATAATAATAAATAGCAAAATACCAATGCTATTAAGTCTCTTTGACCCAGCCATCTTTCCAAAATTGAATGTGGGGGAAATGTCTCATAATCATGTGATCATACAATAAGGCACACTGGTTGCAAGTGAAAGTACTCATCCAAAAGCAAAGATGCGATATTGTCAATGTTTCTAAGGAGACAACACCCATTGTTTTGGTTTTAGGAAGGAAAAGTCATGTTACTCTCATGATTTCTTAGAAAACGTTCTACAGTGCACAGGGACTGCCCTATGGCTGTGAGAGGAGCCCAGCTGTCCCTCCCAGTTTTCTGACATTTTTTGTCATACACAAGTTCAAAACCCAGAGTGGCCATGGACATGCTATTAACATCGGAAAGATTTATATCAATTATATTGGGGCACAGTGTAGCTCTACTTCCTTTTTTATTTTTTAATAATCCTCATCTGAGGATATTTTTCCTCCCATTGATTTTTAGAGAGAGTGGAAGGGGTGGGCATAGTGATTAATGAATGGGAGGGATACCTGGGTTTCAGAGCCCTCCCCCCCAAAAAAAACCCCAACCAAAAAAAAAAAATACAAAACAAAACAGGGAAAGGGAGAGAGGGTGGAGAGAGAGGAACTTTAATGTGAGAGAGGCACATTGACTGGTTTCCTCCCGCACATACCCTGACTAGGCCGGCAGCAGGATTGAATCTGAAATTCAGGTACATGCCCTTGACCAGGAATTGAACCCGAGACCCGTCAGTGCGCAGGCCAACGATCAAACTACTGAGCCATGCCAGCCAGGGATCTACTTCATTTTTTATTAAAGGTAGCAGCTTGTTTACCTACACTTTTGAGGGTAAAAAGGTTTGCTTTTTTCTTTTTCTTCCATCAGATGCCCCATTGCTTAGCATTAGGTGCTCAATGAATATTTGGTGAAATAATGTGTGTTGAGAGACAAGAACAGTTGAGTAGGAGCAGGCACTCTAGGCTTTCTCTTCTATGTTGGCCCCACAGTGTGTCTTCTGTGGGTCCCATCCTCTAGTCCTCTTTTTGGCCCTCAGTTTATTCATTATCAGTTGAGGAGTTGGCCCCAGTAGTTTAAGATCCCTTCAGATATAAACAGTCTCAAAATTTGCGTGGCATTTAGGCTCCAGAGTCTGACCCAAAATCAAGCTCTGTGCTGAATCTTAAAGACAGCCTAGCAGAGAACAAATGTTGTTCCAGTCCATTAATCTATTTAAGTTAGGAAGTAGATACATTTAGTAAGAAGATTGTGGCAGACTGGAGAAGTCTGACCTTCAAAGATACTTCCCAATGGTCTGATGTCAAGGTGTGGCCAAGAGATAAAGAATGGAATGCTGGAAGAAAGTTGTCTTTATCCATAAAAACCCTTGGGGGAAGGATTGGTGACAAAGCATCAGAGGAGCTAGAAAGGAATCCTCTGGAAATTTATGCGGAAGAGAAAATCGAATTTAGTTGCTTGCACATTAGGACAACAATGTTTAAGCCAATAGAAATTAGGGAAAATACTGGGTGGGGTGGTGGTTGGGGGGGTGGAGTCATGGTGGCCAAGGAGGTAAATCTTGAACCCACCTTCTCCCAGGAGCACATCAGAATTAAAACTGAGTTATAGAACACCCATCACAGAGGACCACCTGAAGACTAGCTGAGCAGAATTTCTCTAACTAAAGGTGTAAAGAAGGTGCCTCAAAGCGACAGGTAGGAGGGTGGATATGTGGTTTGGGCAGGTACCATACCCCTGGTGTAGTGATGAATGAATGGGAGGGATAGCTGGGCTTCACAGGTCCCCAGTAAAGAGTCAGAGGTCTGACCACCTCCAGGCTCCACAGCATGGGGCACCTGTGCCAAGAGTTCCTGCAACATCCAGCTTTGGGCACCAGTGAGGATTATGTCTGAGATGGAGGAAGGGTTATAGGAGACCTAGCACCATGAACTCCCGCCCTCTAAGCTCCAGCACAGAGGCAACAGCTCCAGAAGTGCCTGGGACCTAAGGGAGGAACTCAATGGATTAACCTTAGGGCACAGGCTAGAGGGGCAGGGATTGGTAGGAACTCTCTCAGGGGACAGAGTGCTATTGTCCCTTTGTTGAGTTCTCCCATCCAGCTGGCCCTGAGCAGGCAGGCACAAAATCTCTCTCTATTAACCTGGCCTACACTGTCTGCCCTGCTCTGGCTTTTCCCTGAGACCCTGCCCCACCCAACCAGCTCACCTTGCTGGGGCCTCTTCCGGCAGCTCCAGACCCTTCACAAGAGCCCACATAGTCTCCCCGAAAAGCCTCACGTTCTACAGGAGTGACGGCCTGCTTCTGGCACGCCCTGCAATCTCTCCCAAATGCCCTTCATTCAGCACAAGCAGCAACCTAGGCATCTGTCAGTAGATGAATGGGTAAAGAACACGAGCTACATATGTACAAAGGAATACTACGCAGCCATAAAAAGAATGAAATCTTGCCTTTTGTGACAAAGTGGACCTAGAGGATAGTATGCTAAGTGACAAAAGGCAGACAGAGAAAGAAAAAGACCATCAGTTTTCAGTTATATGTAGAATGTAAAAACTAGGACAAAGAAAACTAAATGGAAACAAGCTCATACATACAGAGAACAAATTAATATGTACCTGATGGGGGTGGGGGAGGTGGGGGAAGGTGTAAAAGATGAAGGGAATGAAAAAGTACAATCTGCCAGTTATAAAATAAGTAACAGGGATGTAAAGTACAGCAGAGGGAATGTGGTCAATAATATTGGAATAGCTCTAACCGGTTATTGGCTCAGTGGATAGAGCGTCAGACTGTGGACTGAAGGGTCCCGGGTTCGATTCTGGTCAAGGGCATGTACCTTGATTGCGGGCACATCCCCAGTAGGGGGTGTGCAGGAGGCAGCTGATCGGTGGATGTTTCTCTCTCATCGATGTTTCTAACTCTCTATCCCTCTCCCTTCCTCTCTGTAAAAAAATCAGTAAAATATATTTTAAAAATAATAATATTGGAATAATTATGTATGGTGCCACACGGGTCCTAGACTTATCATGGGGATAACTTTGTAAGGTTTGTATGTCTAGTCACTCTGTTGTATTCCTGAAATGAATATAGATAGTCTTTTGTGTCAATTATAATTTAAAAATCTATTTAAAAAATTTGGGAAAATTCACATAAACTAGAGTGCTTTGAATTTCTTGCGAGATAGGGTCTCATGCAAATGGGTTCATGGCTTATACATCTCAGTTGCTTAAGCTTCTCCTGGGCAACATCAGTGAGGAAGACCTGCATAGTTAGGCTTACTTGGAGGCTGTGTGACTTTAGAGCCGACACATTCCTTTGCTCAGCCTCTCTTCATCTGTGAAGTGGGCATTATATAAAGTTACTCTATTTATTATTTATTTATTTATTTATTTATTCAATTCAGAGAGGAAGGGAGAGGGATAGAGAGATAGAAACATCAATGATGAGAGAATCATTGATTGGCTGCCTCCTGCATGCCCCTCACTGGGAATTGAGTCTGCAACCCAGGCATGTGCCCTTGGCTAGAATCAAACCTGGGACCCTTCAGTCCACAGGCCGACACTATCCATTGAGCCAAACCAGCCAGGGCTGAAGTGGGCATTATAAAATATAGAAATGGAAATGAACATGTGTGTATGGAGCATACACAATAACCTGGTGTGGCTTTTTTTTTTCTTTTAAAATTTATTTTATTTTATTGCCATGTATGGCTATTTAAATGAAAATTAATTTATTTAAAATATTATAAGTTTTGATTTGAGCCAAATTGACAACAGATGCTGGGGAGAAAGATCTCAAATGCTCCCTAAATTTAAATTAATTAAAATAAAATTAAATGAAAAAAATTAACTTCCTCATTTATACTAACCACCATTTTGTTGTTGTTAATCCTCACACAAGGATCTTTTTCCATTGATTTTTTGGGAGAGTGCAAGAGAGAGGGAAAGACAGAGAGAAACATCAGTGTGAGAGAATCACATTGATTTGTTGCCTCCTGCCCAAGCCCCAATCAGGTCTGGGGCCTGAGAGGAGCCTGAAACCAAGGTTGCAGAGCCCTTTACTGGAATGGAACTGGACCCTTTGGTCTGCAGGCTGATGCTCTATCCACTGAGCCAAACCAGCTATCACACACACATTTGCCGGAAGCCGGTCCATCCTTGCTGCTTGACACAGTCGCTGCAGGAAAGAAACATCTGCACAGCATATGTTTCAAAGGACCTGGCGTATATAGCATACTGTTCTTAATATGTTTGTTCCCCTTAGCGCTATGTGTTTTAACCAAGGTCACCTCTCCGAGAAAGGTTGTTTCCCCAGGTAAGGATTTTTCCTTGAAGTTAGGGAGGGAATAAAACTTCTTAACTAAAATGGCATGGAACATTTAAATGCAATTTAAAAAAAAAAAAAAAAACAAAAAAAACTTCTTAACTAAGTGCCAGGCGGGTAGTTAATCACTTTAACTACGAACAATCACGCTTAAGCTACATAATCTTTACTCCCTGGAATGGAGATAAGAAACGCCCTAACCTTTGCAATAGAAATTGACAGGATTAAAATCGACTAGTATAAATACAGATGTAACAAGACATTAGAAGGCAGAACTTGGCTGGAGATCCTGGCTAGAGATCCTGGCTAGGCTGCTGATCAACTGAACGCTGTCTCCCTGTCATTCCTTCTTCGCCGACTCCGTCCACACCTTTGGGGACCCCTGGACCTGCTGGGGTTGGACCCCAGCATCAAATCATAGAAAAGGAGGTAACAAATGCAGTGTAGAAAACAAAACAGAGTGATGAGGAATATCTGAGGTGACATGTAAGCAGAGAACAGAATGAAAAAGAGAAGTCTGGAAATGGTTAAAGGAATGGGGATATAGGCAGAGAGCACCACCAGCAAGAAGGTACTAAAGTAGGGATGCATTTGAAAGAACCATGAGTCGCTGGAGCCCCGTGGACAGGGAAGAGATAGTAGAAAAATCTGAGAGTTGGGCAGAGGTCAGATCACTGGGCCTTTGCATCTAGGTTAGGAGTTAGGATTTTTTACTTTTTTCTGAAAGAGCTATGGGAGGGTTGTAAGTGGGGGAGTGACATGGTCTAATTATATTTTGCCATTTATATCATTCTGCACAATTTTATTAGTTAAGTGTTTACTTTACTTGTGTCTCTATCTGAATGTACAATCCTGGACATTTTTATCCTTAGTATATTTGTCAGCCTCAATATAATAGTAAAAACTGTGGAAGAGTTGAATTGAATTAAGTTAGAAAATCCTTATCACTGACCTACTGGGCTATGGCAGAGTCCCAGAGTATAACAAAACTAATAAAGATATTTTAATTTTTTTTTTTTTTTATTTTAGAGAGAGGAAGGGGGAGAGAACAGAAGGAGAGAGAGACAGAGAGAAAGAAACATTGATACTTAATAGTATCTATGACTATCCCCACCCATTACTCATCAAGGAGTGTGGGCATCCATTTTGTCTTGCAGTCACCAGAGAAGAAGCTTGCATGTGAGTTTTTCTTACTAAACTTAGTTGCCAGATTAGAGTGGCTGCTTCTTTTGCCAGCCTCTCTTTGCCCCCCACTTAGGACGGTAGACTTTCAGTTTTGGGGCTTTTCTCTGAGTCTGGGTCTATGAGGACTAGGCCTGGTCCACATTCTGCTTTCTGAAATGTTCTCCTGACATCCTTCAATAAAATGCAGTCTGAGTCGTTGCTTCCTGTAGCATGAGTGATGAAACACAGTGATTCACATTCCGACTTAATCCTTGTTAATAGATAACTTGGCGATATAACTGAGGCTAGGGACTAGCCATTGTGGCCACAGAGCAATAAGTACCCTCTACTCACCAAAGGTCCAGTAGACGGTCATCTCAGAGCACAAGGGTAAGTGCATCAGGACCATTGGAGGGCTGGTCTTTGCTCTGGTGTCCCCCCACTGAGCCTGGCTCTGTTTCCTTCCTAATCTCCTCTCTGAGCATCGGGAGTCAGTGTGGACTTTATGTGTGGAAAGGAGCTGGGAAATAAGGGGCTACTTCCAAGGGCAGCTTTGCCTGCCTGTCGGAGGTACAGAGCTCTCAGCCACCCTGAGCTAACAGAGACCTGAAGCCATTGTATGTGGTCTCCCATCCATAGCAGGGTAGGCTCATGTGATGCATGCAGTTAGGGTGAAAGGAAAAGTTGCAATCTGAGAATTAAGATGTGTCCCCATACCATCTGTTGGGGGCACAGCAAACAGTCCATTTTCTCTTTTTTCTTCCCTTTAGGCTGATACCATCATGCCTTCTTGGGTAGCCTTCCCCAGCCTCATACTACTTTGGGCAGGTAAGTGAGAGGTGGGCTGGGGTTGGCATGGGGGAGTGTAGGGTGTATGTGGGTGTGGGTGTGGGGGAGCAAGATGTATGTGCTTGGACTCTGTTGGCAGGTAATGGGTCAACTAGTGAGCAAAGAACCAGGCTGAAATCTTACTCCAAAGTAATTCCTTAAATGGTATGAATCACAAAACCTAAGGGTAAGTATAACATTTTGTTGTATGCTGCCATTTCTGTTTAAGAAAGAGGGGGTGGGTAGGTAGTCAGGAATACATGGACTTTTCACATTTTTGTAAGAAAGAGTACCAGCGTTTTCATGGTGTAGGAGGAAATGGAAAGAAAACTTGGGGATAGAATGGAAAAGAGACCAGTCTTTTATTTTGTAAATTTTTGTGTGTGTTTTTAATCAAATGCAAATATTTCTTTTAAAAATAAGATATATCCTGGCTAGTGTGGCTCCTTTGGTTGGGCATCTCCCCAGGCACCAAAAGGTCTCTGGTTCAATTCCAAGTCAGGGCACATGCCCAGGTTTCTGGCTGGATCCCAGGTAGGGGGCATGTAGGAACAGTCTATCAATGTCTCACTCTCACATCAATGTCTCTCTTTCTCTCTCTCTCTCTCCCTTATTTTCTCTCTAAAAATCAATAAAAAATCTTTAAAAAAGTAAAGATAATATATAGGGTGTCCCAAAATATTTATACAGACACTTTATTTTTTTTTATACAGACACTTTATTTTTTTTTTATTTTTTTATTTTTTTTTTTATACAGACACTTTAATAGCCAATAGCTGACTTTTGAAAATGAAATGTATTGAAATAAATACTGTCTTTATAATTATTCAAATTGTGTGTATACTTTTTTGGGATACCCTATACTTTAATTCAAAACATTCTATGAGATAGAGAAAATGTTAGGAATAGACACAACCTAAATTTAAAAATAATAATCACCAGATGTGATGTGATTATGGGGAAAAGTTCATTTAAATTATACTTCCATACTAAATTTTTATGTTAGCATGCTGTATTTGTAATCTACAAATGATGTTAGGCATAATCAAATATTATAAAAATCCAGTGAAAAGACTCCTATTTTATGTAACTATCAGCATTTTATTCCCAGAGCATTTTGAAACTCACAGTCTAAATCTAGCTGATTAGTTGGGTTATGTAAAGTACAGCATAGGAAATACAGTCAATAATCTTATAAAATAAAAGCCCAGCAACTGAACTGCAGAACAAGGAGAATGACCAATAGATCTGTCGCTATGATGTGCACTGCCCCCCAGCGGGCAGATGCTCAACACAGGGGCTGCTCCCCTGGTGGTCACTGTGCTCCCATAGTGGGAGCACCACTCAGCTTACTGGGATGAGTGGCGCTCCTACAGTGGGCTGATCCCCACAGGCCATGCCCCCGCCACCAGTGCATGAATCTTGTGCACCAGGCTCCTAGTATTTTTATAACTATGAATGGTGTGAAATGGGTACTACACTTATTGGGTGATCACTTCACAAGTTATATAAATGTCTAATCACTATTTTGTACACTTGCAACTAATACAATACTGTATATCAATTATAACTTAAAAATAAAAAAATAAGATTAATTAGTACATCTCAGATTTCATTTAAGGACCAACTTGACTACATTTGACAATATAGGGTTTAAAAATATGTATATTTTTATTGATTTCAGAGAGAGGAAGGGAGTGGGAGAGAGAGATAGAAACATTAATGATTAGAGAAAATCATTGATAGGATGCCTACTTCACGCCCCCTACTGGGGATTGAGCCTGCATTCCTGCATGTGCCCTGACTTGAAATTGGCCCTTGACCTCCTGGTTCATAGACTGATGTTCAACCACTGAGCCACACCTGGCGGGCAACAATATGGGGTTTTAATGCCACTAGCACTGGAGAGAGTTTTTGTTTTTAAGTGGCTTAATTTAGCACTTGATTGAATGTTCCCCAGTTCTCTGGGTTCACCATGGGAAGTGGGCCTCACTCAAGTGTCATGCTCATCTACTCATGAGAATGATTTCTACTTGGATTTTTTTGGACCTTCCTCAAGAGCACGATCAGCCTTGGCTCTTCTGGAACCATTAGAAACCTATTTTCTAAGAATCGATACCTGAAAGTTTATTAGACTTCTGCCTATAAGGCAACAAGTTCATGAGACTTCTGCCATAGGCAACAATACTTTATTTATTATTTTTATATTTAAATTTTTGATTAGAAACATAGATTTGTTGTTCTACTTACTTATGCATTCATTGGTTGATTCTCGTGTGTGCCATAACTGGCGATGAAACCCACAACCTTGGCGTATTGGGATGATATTCTAATCTCTTGAGCTACTGGCCAGGGCCCAACAATACTTTATTTATTTATTTATTTATTTAAAATATATCTTTTCATCAGTCTGGGTTTTGGGCTCGATGCCCAGTACTGATAGAGTGTCATTTGTTTCAACATTTTGGAGAGAAATTTGATAAAAATATTTCTGCTCTTTGTCCTGATAATTTCTATTTTAGAAGTTTATCCTATTGGGAAACAATCCTAAATAAAGAAATAAGTTTAGCCCTAGCTGGTTTTGCTCAGTGGATAGAGCATCAGCACATGGACTGAAAGGTCCCAGAATCAATTCTGGTCAAGGGCATGTACCTCGGGTGCAGGCTCGATCCCAGCCCTGATCAGATCTCCTGCAGGAGGCAGCCAGTCAATGTGTGTCTCTCACATTGATCTTTCTCTCTCTTTGTCTCTCCCCATTCCTTCCACTCTCTCTAAATATCAATGGAAAAATATCCTCAGGCGAGGATTAACAAAAAAAGAAAAAAAAGAAATAAGATTGAATTATATGTTATTTACAACTATCAAAATGCTGATGAAGATGTAAACAGTAAAACATAAAAACATTTTTATATTTAAGATTAAAGTCACATGATTACAAATGAAATAAACCATATCAAGAGAAGTAAGTGGACATAAATGTAAAATTCAAATATTGAGGCCTCACACGCGGTTTTGTTTTTATTGGCAGATGTTGTTGTTTCTCAGACACGCGTGACTGGAGTGGCGGGACAGTCTGTCACGCTACCGTGTACCTACTCAACAGCTGATGAAATCGCACCCATGTGCTGGGGCCGAGGGCCTTGCCCTTTATCCAAATGCTCAAATACACTTGTATCGACTGATGGCTACCGTATCACCTTTGAGAAGAACAAACGTTATAGGATGAATGGAATCATTCCCAGAGGGGATTTGTCTCTAACCATACAGAATGCAGCCCTGTCTGACACTGGCACCTATTGTTGCCGTATTGAGTTCACAGGGTTGTTTAATGATTATAAAGGGCATATATTTTTGGAGATGAAGCCAGGTGAGTTTGTCTTCCTGTGATCACTTCATGTGCATGAACTGAGATGTTTACTGTTTGGTGGTGGTATTCTCTTCCTTTAAGAAAGAAAGAGGAGGTTCCTCAATCCTGTTTTTTAATAACTTTGGGGAAATAAAATTACTTGTGTAGAATGAAGTGTTAAAAGAATCTAGAGTCAAGAGCATAGGCTAGAGGGCCTTCCCAGTCTGCAGTGCTTCAAAAATGCTGGTTAGTTCATGAAGAGGCATTCACAGCTCCATAGGGACATGAGGTGAACATTTTTCTCAAACGGAATTTATTCAATGTAAACAACTGTACTTTTTCTCTGAGATGATGTCATTGAAAATTTATAAAATGACCTTTCTTAACATTTTAAACCTACAAGGGAGATTTTCAAATGTATAAAGTAGACAATATTGTATAAGATATTGTCAACTAGATACATTACTAACTTTGACATTTACCAACTCAATCTTGTTGCATATACATTGCATAAGCATATATAGTCCCACCTCCACACTCTGCCCTACCTTCTTCTTCTTTATTGTTCCTTATGCTCCTTTAATCAGATTTTTTTTGCATGCTTGCTTTTCCCCTCTATATTAGGTTTTTAAATGAAGGGAAAGAATTAGACTGTATACTTCTTTTTTATTTATTTATTTAATTTTGTTTTATTTCTTAAAGTATTACAAAGGGTATTACACATGTCTCCTTCCCTCCCACCCCCCTTGACGTTCCCCCGGCCTCCCCCACCACCCAGTGTCTTGTGTTCATTGATTATTCTTATATGCATGCATACAAGTCCTTTGGTTAATCTCCTACCCCCGCCCTGAACCCTCCCCAGGCTTCCCACTGTAGTTTGACAGTCTGCTCAGTGCTGCTCTGCCTCTGTATCCATTTTTGTTCATCAGTCTATAATGGTCCTTATTATCCATAAATGAGTGAGATCATGTGGTATTTTTCTCGGCTTCCCAGGGGCCGTCTCAGTCTCACAGGGGCCGTCCTAGCCTCACAGGGGCCGTCCCAGCCTCACCGGGGCTGTCTCAGCCTCACCGGGGCCGTCGCAACCTCACTGGGGCCGTTGCAACCTTACTGGGGCCGTCGCAACCTCACTGGGGCCGTTGCAACCTCACCGGGGCTGTCTCAACCTCACCGGGGCTGTCTCAACCGGGGCTGTCTCAACCCCACCGGGGCTGTTTCAACCCCACTGGGGCTTTCTCAACCTCACTGGGGCCGTCTCAACCTCACTGGGGTCGTTTCAACCTCACCGGGGCTGTTTCAACCTCTCAGGGACCATTTCAACCTCACTGGGGCCATTGCAACCTCACCGGGGCCATCTCAACCTCACTGGGGCCGTTTCAACCTCTCAGGGGCCGTTTCAACCTCACCGGGGCTGTCTCAGCCTCATGGGGGCCGTCTCAGCCTCACGGGGGCTGCCTTAGCAACACGAAGTTTGGCATTCTGTCTTTTGTTGGGCGGCTCCTTGCTGGACAAAATCTCCAGGCGTTCTTGGTGGCTGAATATCTGGTATGCTTGCTTGGATTTCGTTTTCTACTAAGTGCACAGACTGCTTGTCTGCTGTCTCCCAGCGTCCCATGTGAGACTGGATCTGGTGGACCTGTTTGTGCATTTGCTGGGTCCGGCTCCGGCTTCCTCCGAACCTGATTCTGCTTCTTGAGTGTGTCCCTTATGTATGTGAGGAGCTGAAATCTGCAGTTTGTTGGGTTGGGCTGCAAAAGCGCAGGTGGTTCCTTTTGTGCCACTGGCACAGCTTGGGCGGGGATGTAAATTGAGTAGGGCGGGGTCTCCAGGAATCACCAGGGCAGAGCAAGGGGCAATGGTGCCTCCACGACTCCTCGTCTCTCCACGACTCCATGTCTCCGCATCCCCGAGTGCTGGTGAGCAGCTCCACGAGACAGCCATCCTCGCTCTCCAGCCCGTTGCAAGGCCGTCCTGCCTCTCCATGTAGGGGTCTGTGACCTCAGAATCCTGCCCCAAACAAGCTCAGTGGATTCGGGAGTTTGTAGCCCCTTCCGATTGAAAAAAAACCGCGCATCCAGTTGCAGCCCGCCTGGCGCGCGACTCCGTACCTCTGGTCTTGGCGCCTCTGCACAACCTACTCAGTCTCAATGCTCTTCTTTCTTTCCTTCCAGTTGTAGAGCTTCCACTGGGCCAGCTTTCCCATGGTTCTGAATGATAGCTGTTTGTCTTATAGTTGGTAGTCTCGATGTTGTTGTGGGAGGCAGCACGCACAGGTCTGTACCTTACGCCGTCATCTTGGTTCTCCTTCTAGACTGTATACTTATTAAAGGCTTCTGACTACAGCTTAGATCAGGTTCAGCCAACATTATAGCCCACGACCAGGTCACATTCAAAACAGGCCCACTGACTGTTTTATAGATAAGCTTTATTGGAACAGCTATCCCAATCCTTGTACTGTCTGGACTGTGTCTGCATTCACACTGACAGAGCTGAGCACTGAGACCATAGGGCCCCCAAAGCCTAACACATTTACTGTCTGGCCCTTTACAGGAAGTTTGCTGACCTCTGCTTAAGACTAATGCCTTGCATGTAATAGATACCAATATTTGTTGAAAAAGACTTCAGCCTGCTCCAGGCACAGATGGGCTTAATTCTGTATTAAACTGATTCTCTAAAAAGAAAAACATTCAAACCAATTGTCTACTCTGCAGTGGTTCTCAACCTGTGGGTTGTGACCCCTTTGGCGGTCGAACAACCCTTTCACATGGGTTGCCTAAGACCATCCTTCATATCAGATATTTACATTACGATTCATAACTAACAACATTACATTTATGAAGTAGCAACGAAAATAATTTTATGGTTGTGTCACAAAATGAGGAACTGTATTTAAAGGGCCAGAAGGTTGAGAACCACTGCTCTAGGGGTTTCTTTTATAGTTAGTAGAGTTGAGTTTGAAGGAAGCTTCTTGTAAAAAAAAAAAAAAATGGTGCTTGGTGAATGTACACATTCTTGAATCAGGCCTTCAATGATCTGCATTTTTGCCAGGCACTGGGTTTGGGCTTAAGTCTAGTGACAGCACTCTCTGGGTAGCTCTGAGACGTACCGTGAGTGGTTTTGAATCCAACACCCTATCTGACCCTGGAAAGAGACAAAGTTACTACCTGTGGTCTAGTCCACCTTCCAGCCAATAGATAAAGTGTCTGTGTGATCTTATCTATGCTAGTGGGTGTGAGTTAGTCCTCATTTAGGGTGCAGGTCTCTTCGGAGGGTATCCTCAAGACTGAAATGAATGCTATGCATTAATTAATAGAGTTTTAACTTTCTGGGCCCAGAAACTATTTATTAATTTAGTCATTCACCACTGAGAGGACAAAGACAGGTCCAGGCTCTAGACATTTTCCCCACCTCCGCGATATTGACGAAGATACGTAAATCTGATATGCGTGGTTGGTCTTCTCAGAGTGCTTCAGTGTTAACCCTGGGTATCCTTTATCCCCTCTGAACGTCCTCATATACATTCTTGCAATACAGCTATCTCTGTTTTCTTTGGCTTGTCCTCAAGCCCTCCCCTGTAAGGATCTCATTAACCAAGGATAGGAGGTCATAGTTCAGGGCAAATTAGTGCCCAGTTTTGCTTGGGGACAGTCTCTCATTGGTTATTTTGATGTAAAGGCCCAGCACAAAGCTCTTGTTCCCTGTTGCTTGATTAACCCTTGCTTTCATGTTGATTTCTAGCTCCAACCACTGTTCCAACACCACCTAAGGTCTTCAGCTCTGCTCCTACAACTCCAGGGACCACGAAGAACCTCAAGACAGGTAAAGCCATTTGTTTCTGAGGCCAGAGGCCTTTTAGGAAAAGGGTGGAAACCACCCAGGGCATGTGTTAAAACGTACAATTCAGGGTAAGGGTTCTTAGGTGGCCCCAAGCGAGGGTTTCATAGCGTCTGTGAACTCCAGTCTCATAGCCAGATTTTGTAACTATAAGTATTTTCAGAATAGGAGGACTCACTTTTTTTCCCTAAAATCTTTATTGTTGAAAGTATTACAGATATTCCCTTGTGTTCCCCCATTGACCCCTTCCAGCCTGCATCCACTCCCCTCCCCACCCTATGCCTTTATGACACTATTGTCTGTGTCCATGGGTTATGCTTATATACATAGAAGTTCTTTAGTTGATCTCTTTGCATCCACCCACTCACTCCCATCTTCCTTCTGAGAATTGCCAGTCGGTCCCATGCTTTTAGGCTCATTGATTTTTCTGATCAGATTTTCTTTCTTTCTTTCTTTTTTTTTTTTTAAAATATATTTTATTGATTTTTTACAGAAAGGAAGGGAGAGAGATAGAGAGTTAGAAACATCGATGAGAGAGAAACATCGATCAGCTGCCTCCTGCACATCTCCTACTGGAGATGTACCGCAACCCAGGTACATGCCCTTGACCGGAATCGAACCTGGGACCTTTCAGTCCGCAGGCCGACACTCTACCCACTGAGCCAAACTGGTTTCAGCTTTCTGATCAGATTTTCAAAAGCATTCATTATTAGCCCAAACCCCCAGATCACTGATCTTTGATATCTAATGAGGATGGTGTGGATTTTGCCCAATGAGCACAGGCTTAAGAGGAAAATACAGAAAATTACAGAGAAAAATAGTCAAGTTAATGGCATTCTGTTCTCCCAAGGAGTTCTGAATAGGGATCCTTTACTTCACTCTGAAGTGAGACCCTGTACCTGAGAATAAGATTGTAGTGAAGTTAATATTCACTCTGTCTCCTATGTCAGCAACCATGCTAAGTACTTTGCAAATATTATATCACTGAATTCTTATGACAACCCTATGCGTTGTAGGTGTGATTCAGTCTCATTTTATAGGGTGCTGTCAAGTAGATACAGCACCAGCTTTAACTATTATCTTTTCAATGTTATTGCATATAGATTGTGTTCACGTTTGAGTAGACAAATTCATTAGAAACACTGGTTAGTTTTTCTCCTATTTATTGTTCCTTATGTTTCTTTAAAAACTTTTTTTGCATGCTTGCTTTCTCCTCCATTTTATATTTAAAATTGGATTTTTTCTTTCTAAAAGCCTCTTACTATACCTTTGACCAGGGTTAGCATATAGTCCAGGGCCAGATTAGATTCAAATTAGGCCCACTAACTGCTTTATAAATAAAGTTTTGTTGGAACAGTCATATCCAATTATTTTTCCGCAGAAACCTTCACACTGATATAGTTGAGCAACTGCCTCTGAAATCATCCAGCCACCATACTCTAATCCAGGGGAGGGCAAACTTTTTGACTCGAGGGCCACAATGGGTTCTTAAACTGGACCGGAGGGCCGGAACAAAAGCATGGATGGAGTGTTTGTGTGAACTAATATAAATTCAAAGTAAACATCATTACATAAAAGGGTACGGTCTTTTTTTTTTTTTTTTTTTTTTTTTTTAGTTTTATTCATTTCAAACGAGCTGGATCCGGCCCACGGGCCGTAGTTTGCCCACGGCTACTGGCCATTTACAAAACTTTGCTGACCTCTTCTTTAGATTAATGGCTTCCATGCAATAGACACAAATATTTGTTGAAAAACAGTTTTCCCTCTTCAAGGCAATAATTGGCTCAATTCCAAATTAAACTGGATTTCTCCAAGGAAGAGCTTTCAAGTCAATGGACTCCTATACAATGGACTCCTCTTTTATACTCAGTAGAGTTAGATTTAAAATATCTTCTTGTAGCCAGGCTGGTGTCACTCAGTGTTTGAGCATTGACCTATGAACCAGGAGGTCATGGTATGATTAGGGTAAGGGCACATGCCCAGGTTATGGGCTTGATCCCCAGTGTGAGGCTTGCAGGAGGCAGCCAATCACAGATTCTCTCTCATCATTGATGTTTCTATCCCTCTCTTCCTCTCCCTTAGTCTCTGAAATCAATAAAAAATATGTTTTCTTAAAATGAAAGCTTATTGTAAAAGAAAAATAAGGTGCTTGGTGAGGAAAAGGGCCACATTCTTGAATCAGGCCTTCATTGATCTGCTTCTGAGTCATGCCTTGTGTTTAGGCTTAATTCTAGCTTCAGCTCTCTCCCTGGAGTTGGAGACCTTCAGTAAGTGAGTTGCAAAGTGTCAAAGTTATTACCTGTGGTCTAGTTCACCTTCATCCAAATGTATGTTGTACAAATCCTTCCTGTGATCCTGCATCTGCTAGTGGGGGTGTGTTAATCCTCTCCTCCACCCCCTCCACACACACACACTGGAGAGGGTACCCTCAGGACTGACTGAATTTAATGCTACTTATTTGGTACACATTTTTGGTACACATTTTGCTGTTTAAGTAAGTCTTAGTCATTCACCACTCAGAAGACTAAGACAGATCCAGGCTCTAGATATTTTCTGTACCTCGCAGGTGTTTATGAAGATACATATATCTGATATGCATGGATGATCTTTTCACAGTACTTCAGCTTTAATTTTGGATAGCCCTTTTCACCTCTGAATGTCCTGGAGTGTATACATTTCAATGCATGTTTTCCTTTGGCCAGACAGTTTTCAGATTTTAATCGAGAAAGGATAAGAACTCTGAGTTCAGGAGAGGTTGGTGCCCAGTTATACCTGGGGACAGACAGACTCTCATTGGTTGAGTTGACATATAGGCCCAGCACAAAGCTCTTGTTCCCTGCTACTTGATTAATCCTTGCTTTCATGTTGATTTCTAGCTCCACCTAAGGTCACCAGTGTTCCAACACCACCTAAGGTCTTCACCTCTGCTCCTACAACTCCAGCACCAACACTGAACCTTAAGACAGGTAAACTGATGTGTTTCTGAGGCTAGATGAGTGGATGAAGACCACCAGAATATATGTTAAGGCAGAGTTGCCATCTATGCTAAAGGTTTTTCCCTGGGTTCCATAGGGCCTTGTGTGATCTGTGAAACCTTGTCCCATATTACATGCATCTAATAGGTATCTTCAGAGTGAGGGGACCCAATTTTTTAAAAATTGGATGCTCAAAGGGTTTCATCATTAGCCAGACAACCCAGACCTATGATATTGGACAACTAATGGTATGTATTTTGTCCAGTTGGCACTGGTTTATGAGTAAAATCTAGGTTATTCCAGAGAAGAAGGGAAATGAGTGGAATTCCCTTAGTCTTCTCTGAAGTTGGACCCTTTATACTAGGATAACAAGCCCACCACTAGTTTTACCTGTAATATTTTATTGAAAGAACCATTTCTAATCATTGTACCATCAGGTAGGTCTTTGGCTGCTCTCACAATGTCAGAGTTGAACAACAGCCACTCACTCAGACTATAGCTGCCAAACCCTAATACTTCCATCTGGCCATTTACAGAAGGTTTGATGACCTGTGCTTTAGACTAATGCCTTGCATATAATAAACACTGACAAATATTTGTTGATTTATGTTTATTGCACATCATAGCAAACATTGGCTTGATTCCAAATTCAACTGTATCTCTCCAAAGAAGAGCTTTTAAACCATTGGCCTCCTGTGCAAAGGTTCTCTTTCTTCTAGTTATTCAAGTTGAGATTCAAGGAAGCTTCTAGTGGGATACAAAGGTGCCTGGTGAGGAAAAAGTACACATTGTAGATCAGGCAGTCATTGATGGCCTTTTGTGCCAGGCACTGTGTTTGTGCTTAATTCCACTGCCATCTCTCTCTCTGGGTATCTCTGAGACCTTCTGTAACTGCTTTGAAATTCTAAATCTTCTTTGTCATGGAAAGAGCCCAAGTTATTACCTTTTCATCTCTTAGTTGGGAAGGAATCATTGGTGGTCTTATTCACCTTTCAACCAAGTGTATAATGTATAAATGGTCTGTGTGATCTAGCATATACTTGTGGTGTGAGTTAATTTAGGGTGCAGGACTCCTCGGAGAGTATCGTCAGGACTGAATGAAATGAATGAAATTTATTGGGTAAACATTCTGGGCCTGGAACTACTGTTTAAATATTAGTCATGCACCACAGAGAGGACAAAGTCAGTTCCTGGCCCTGGACATTTTCCCCACCTCACCAATGTGTAGAAGGATATGTAAATCTGATATGCATGGCTGGTGTCTTCAAAGTGCTTCCGTGCATAATCCGAGCAACCTTTTTCACATCTGAAGCTCCTGGAATCTATACTTTCAATGTAGCTGTTTCTTTTTTGGAGGCTGGTCCTCGATCCCAGCCCGGTCAGATTCTAGTAGACTAAGGACAAGGACTCTGAGCTCAGGGGAGATTAGTGCCCAATTCTGCAGAGGACAGTCTCTCATTGGATGTGTGTGTGTGGGCCCAGCACAAAGCTCATTCTCTGCTGCTTGATTAATCCTTGCTTTCATGTTGATTTCTAGCTCCAACTAATGTCACCATGGGCCCAACATAACCTATGGTCTCTTCCACAGAGGTAGCAGGAGGGCCACAGAAATTCAAGACGGGTAAACTGATGTGTTTTCTAGTCCTAGGCCCTCTAGTGAGAGGATGTAGACTGCTGAGGGCATGTGCTAAGGCAGAGTTGCAATCTAGGGTATGAATTCTTCTTGGTTTGTAAACATGGACTTCACAGTATCTTTGAATCTGTGTTCCATATATATGCTTTTTTTTTTTTTTACCTATAAGTACTTTTAGAGTGAAGGAATCTTTTTTATTATTATTATTTTTTAACCAATGAGATTCTCAAAGGGATTTTTTATTATGCCCAAAACTAAGACATCTTGGACATCTAATGCAGATGGTGAGGACTTGGCCTCGTGGAGCACAGGTTTATGAGGAAAGTCTAGGTTATTCCAGGAAGAGGGAAAAGCTAATGAGAGTCTGTCCTCATGTCCCAGACATTTTCTCCACCTCATGCATGTTTTTGAAGATACATACATCTGATATGCATGGTCTTCAGAGTGCTTCAGTGTAAATTACAGGTTTCCTTTTCACCTGTGAAACCCCTGGGAAATACACTTTCTCATACAGCTGATTTCTTTTTTCCAGTGTGACTTCAAGCCCTCCCCTGTCAGAGTCTATTTGAGCAAGGACAGGAACTCTGAGCTCGGGAGATTTGTGCCCAGGTCTACAGGGGAACCCAGTGCCTCACTGGCTTTGTTGATGTTCATGCCCAGCACAAAGCCCTTGTTTTTTCTGCTGGATTTATACTTGCTATCATGTGGATTTCTAGCTGCACCTGAGCTCACCAGGGTCCCAAGATCACCTGGGGTCTCCACCTCTGCTACAGCACCAGTTCACCTACAGAACATCCTGAGAAAGAATGTGATATGTTTTTGAGCCCAGAGGCCTTCCAATGAGAGGAGATAGACCACCCAGGGTATTATTATAAGGTGGAAGTATAATCTAGGATGAATGTTCTTCCCTGGGTTAGAAATTTAAGCTTCATAGTAGCTGACAATCCTCATTCCAGATTTGTTGTTTCCTTTGTAACTGTAAGTATTTTCAGTGAAGGGATCATAGTTTTTTTTTAAATCATATTCTCCAGGGGATTAATTATTAGCCCACAAGTCCCCAGACCATTTCTCTTTGACATCTAATGAGAATGGTATGGACTTGGCTCAGTTGAGCACAGGTCCACAGAAAGCTTGAAGTGGAGATCCTTTATCCACTGTGAAGTCAGAGCCTCATCTGGAAGGTAAGGCTTCATCAAGATGATCATTTCCTCTGTCTTCTGTGTGACAATATTCATTCTAAATTTTTTCCCTCCCAATTTACAAATTTTAATTTACTTATGATGTGAAGTTATAGTTGACGTACAATATATTACTTATAGGTGTACAACCCCATGATTAGATGTTTATATAAGTCACAAAGTGATCGCCCTGATAAATTGAGAATCCATGTGACACCACATATAGTTATGACAATATTACTGACTATATTCCCTGTGCTGTAGTTTACATCCCTATGACTATTGTTGAAACTACCAATTTGTACTTTGAAATCCCTTGATCTTTTTCACCCATGCCCCTAATACATTTCCCATCTGCTAAATTCTTTACAAGTAGTATATTACTTGATTCTTATGCCAGCCCTACCCATTATAGGTGTGATTCAATTCTGTTTTATATTTGTGTGAACCTAGGCACAGAGTCTAATTTCATTGTTGAAAGGCATATGGGTAGAAAGTGGTTGAGTCAGGATTCAGTCTCCTTTAGTTTGAATTTGGGACTGTGGGTATAACTACCGGATGGCGTTTCTACCATGAGGCCTGAAGTTATATTAGGATGAATTTGTCCTGCTCTGACATCTTCACTGAAAAAGCCCTTTATATAATACTCTGTCTTTTTATGTCACTCAGTGACAGTTTTGCTTCTAGCTTCTTTACTTTAGTATGCAGCATAAAAATTGAAAAAAATTGCTATTTATACTTATGACAAAGTATATATCTGATTTAAGAATTTCATGTATTTAAAATGTATGGCTTCTCTTTTCAATTCAGGCTACATGCTTCACACTTCAAGTTTCTGATAGTTGAGAGTTTAGTTGTAATACAAATGGAGAATAATTTGATGTATGGGTGGGGAAATAGCTTGGCCTTCTGAGGACAATTCAGGTTCAAACCTTCTATTTTTAAGATTAAAAAGATAACACTTAGTGAAGATTCTCAAAGCCTTTCACACTCCTTGACTCCTTGAGGTGATCTGGATTCTGAAGAGTAACAGAAATGCCTCAACCTCTTAGCCAGAGAAATCTGATGGAACATTGATTTTCCTTAACTCCCATTGAGCCTTGTGTGTATTTATCTGGTAACCAGGAGGGATCTGAAGCATTTGGGCGATGAGCTGAGTTTGGAGGAGAGGGCTTTAGGTTAGAACTCAGATTTTATAGTCATAAAAGTATATAAGAAAAATAGCTTTGTTCCAGGCAGCTGAACATACTAGAGAATCTGTTAACTTTCTTAATATTGATTTAGCTTCTTTATACTTAATTTGACATAGTGTGTGCCTGTAAAAGTGTGAGGATTAGTGGCTTGGTTTAGTGAACATACACAAGTTTTTTTTACTTCATTTAAAGCAGAGATTCAGAAAGATCTGTGTGACCTCCTGGGGAATATTAATTGATTATTAATTGAATTGAACCTTATGTTTATCCTGATCGTTTCCTAAGGAGTTGGAGTCTAGAGTTGAGCTTCACAGTACAGGAGGGAGGTGAGCACTGGAGCTAATTCAATGCAGAGACATTTACTTTTACAGCCACTTCCTGTCTGTCCTCAGTGCCTCCAGCACATGTTCGTTTCCTAAAATATGCATAAAATGGTTGGATGTAAGATTATAGGAGGAGGGGAGCAAAGAAAGATGCCCACAAGAAATCAAACTTGGGGAAGAGGTTAAGGTCAAGAGGCCGTTTGCACAGACCTAAGTTGGATAGACTGATCATCTGACTTTCTTGTACTGTCCTGTTCTTTGTTCCTAAAGAGAGCCACATCCTTTTATAGGGTTCAGTATTGGAGGAAAACTTGCAATGGGTTCAGAAGATAAGGAAGGGTGATATTGAAATGTGAAGATGGTGGTGGGAAATAGGAAACAAGAAGACTGATGAAAGGCAATAAGGAAAGCCCAGGTCTGCGAATTCTTGCCCAGCCAGCACCACTAATTTGCTCTAAGTTCTGTGGTGCTCTCTGGGGAGGGAATATGAAGAGTTTATAAGGAGGCAAGTGATGCGTGGCGGTGTGCTTGAGAATTCTTGGTGAAGCTTTTTGGTGAGAAATGGAAGATGAGTCAGATAACACAGGAAATCAGGCATTCAGAAGGAGTGAGCAGAATGCAACTGCAGAAGGAGCCGGGGTCACGGTCTACCAGGAACCTGGCTGAGGGTTGTGAATCATTACCAAGTTGAGAGATTGGGCAATGCAGTCACCTTGAAGAAACTTCAAGGAGTTAAATATTGTGAGGGTGTATCCCGTGCTGGTACATATATATGTCTCTCTGGAAAGATGTGTGGATGGATAATCATGAACTTAAATGTCAGAAAATCCAGATTGGGGTTCTTGTGAAAAATGGGACAACAGAATAGTGTTTTTCCCCAGGCCCTGTTCTATGAACATGAAATGTCATTTGTATGGATAAAAGCTTAATCGGGTGTCTTACATAAGATGCACTGTCATAGGCATTAAGCAGTTAGAGAGATCCTAAGAGTATGAAAAGTGTGAAATAATTCTGTCTATAGATGACTATCCAGACCATTATCTATATCAGATTTACTCCTGATAATAAAATACCTAGATAGAAGTGTAATGCCTCAATGTTATATTTGAATAAATTTATAAGAAAGAGTTGAAGGTAATTCCCAGTTTTAGGTTTGTTGCCTATTTTTGTTGGGACTGGAGATTTTTCTCTACAAATAGAACAGAGCTCTTGCATCCTTTTTATTTCAGAAACCACTTCATCTTCTCCACTGCAGACAACAGAAACCCCGCCTATCACACCACAGGAAACAAGTACGACCAGCTCATTGTTGAACTCTTCTTGTCCAACAGGTAACTTAATTTTATTTCCTGAAAACTTGCATTCAAGATTTGAAAATCATTGACATGTAGTTAAGAGCACATATTGTCACAGAGTGTCCACACTAGCCCCTCTAATCTGCTATGTGACTGAAACAAATGTCTTACCCTCTCTGAATCTGATTTCATCATTTCTAAATGGATGGAACATCACTGATCATGCAGAATCCTTGTGAGGATTAAATGAGATGAAGAGCTTAGGACATAGGTATAGGGGGATAAGTGATAAATACAATAGCAACTATGACTATTACTTAGGTGTCCAGAGTACATGCAGGTGGCACTTTTAACCTGGTTCCAAGAATGACCTCTGTACTCCTAAAATGATAGATAAAACCTTATATATAATGTAATTTTTGGCCCATAAAGAAGGAAAAAGTGGTCCATTTTCACAGGGTCCATGAAGGAATTGTTAAGAATCACACCTTACAGGATAGATTAATAAATGCTAGTAATCTGGTTTAATTCTTGCAATGCCTGCTGCATTTGGCCATAGATATATTTTTTGGCTACATTTTTTATTCACCATTTCATTTATAGTCAGGAAGCAATGCACATATATTTCATGTTACTAGCGAAAATTCCATATTTTTTATAATTCTAACTGGTTTTCTTTTTGTTGAGCAGATGGGAATAGCACTGTGACCCAGCCTTCAGATTGCGGTTGGCAATACAATGAAACTGTAAGCAAATTCCTTCTCATTTTATTAGCCATATGCACTTGTATGTCTCTCTGGAATCATGTTATATTCAGAGATTACTTCTGTAAGGCTATCCCGCAGATTAATTCTTTCAGGTTAAGAGACAAAGAAGAAAAGAATTTGTTTCTTAAATAGGGGTCCTTTGATTAATTGGTAAAGTTCATTTGGATACAGGTGGACCAGCTTGTTAGAGATGCCTGATAAGTGATGTTTTATTCACACACATGCACACAACACTCACACACTATAGACTTTCTCCTGGCCAAAAATTTGAACAAAAAAGAATGAATTAATTCAAGGAGACTGAGCTAACATACCACTCCCAGGAAGACTTCAGTTAACATTAAGGGGAAAACATGCTTTGAGTCACTGTGCTAGCATGGAGGCTGTTCCAAACAAAAATATTATGTAAGTGAAAATATGCTTGCTTTGACATATGCCCCCAAATATCCTTTTCCAACCTGAATGCCTTCCATATAGAAATTTTGAGTCCAACGCTGAGATTTTCTCTATCTGAATCTCCCTATAGGATGACTTATTTTTATTATTTTTAAAAATATATCGTTATTGATTTCAGAGACAAAGGGAGAGGGAGAGAAAGTTAGAAACATCAATGATGAGAGAGAATCATTGTTTGACTGCTTCCTGCATGCCCCACATGGGAATCAAGTCCACAAACTGGCCATGTGCCCTTCCTGGGAATCGAACCATGACCTCCTGGTTCATAGGTTGATACTCAAACACTGAGCCATGCCAGCTGGGCAGGATGAATTATTAGGTGTTAATGTCTCAAACAACTTTGTGATTTTGAAAGATGTTCTTCTACTTCTCCACAGTGATTTTGAAACAAGTATAAGGATCATCCCTAGTCTCAGGATGCTCATGGAAGCCTCTCCTTTGCAAATAAATTAGGCTAAATTATCAATAGAACCTTGTTCTTTTGACTCTCTGATAGAAACCACCTTCCTTTACATGTTTAAATAACTCTTGGAAGCAACTATCAAAAGAGTTTGAGGTCTGAGAACAATCCTCATCCAAATGGTGAGAAATGACAACCCAGCTGTAATAAAAGAAATTCAAGCTCAGGCAAAGTGGGATTATTTAGGGTCAAATGAGTTTATGTTGTATATCTTAGTGACAGTTAGAATACCACATAGGCATAACATGAAAAATGTTAACAACTTATATGCCTAGACTCTGATCTGATAGATGTGGGCTGAATTTGTATATACCTCCTAAATATCAGAACTGCCACAGTGGAAATGATTGCTATTTGGCCACACTTGTACTGAATTAAAAACACATACATTCTGAATGGTGAACCTGTTCTTGATCTCAGCTACTTGTAGGACAGTTTTGCTTAGCAGCAAGTAGAAGCAATTTGGATGCAAGTTCATAGCAAGTTGTAGCAGAATTATGGACTGTATGTGCCTTATTTCTGAGGATGTCAGCATGTCTGCTTGGTATCTTGAAAACATGCAACATGTATTTTGACCCAATAAGTAAACTTTTAGGACATATATTAAGGAGAAAATTGAACAAATACATGAAGTTATATGAGAAAAGATGTTCATTGCTGCTATTTATAATCATGAAAATGTTATAAAACAACCTCAATCCTCAACAGTAAGGGATCAAGTACTTTATTAAGCTCACCTACATATTGCTATTAAGAATGTATCTGTGTTAACTGACTGAACAATAATTCCAATAGAGTATCCTAGAAAAAACACACTTGGGCTTCTTCGGAGTTTGGCTGGCGGCTCTCAGTATTGCCAAAGGCCCCGACTCACCCTCTCTGTCTTGTTTCAGAGCCCTCACATTCTATGCACAGCTCTTCATCTACAGAGGCCTGAAAACACCCTGGGGTTCAGTGTTGTGTTTGGGAATTATTTTGCCAAGGCCTTTTGAACACTAGGGCCTTTTGAATACTAGTGTCCCAATGAAGCGCTAAATATTATTTCTGTAAGAATGAGTGTTTTTTTTTTAAAACAGTAATACCTTTCAGAAAAAAAATTTCAATTGATACTTTAGAGAGAGACACACAGAGAGAAATATCAATCTGTTGTTCCACTCATTTATACATTCATTGTTTGCTTCTTGTATGTGCCCTGACTGGGAACTGAACCCACAGCCTTGGTGTATCAGGACAATGCTCTAACCAACTGAGCTACCCAGCCAGGGCCAAAGACCCTATTAAATCAAATAGGCACAGAAACACAGGTTTGGAGAAGCTAAATAATTTGTTGAGGGTCCTACTGAGTAAGTGACTAGGTAAAAGAGTCAGGATGCAGACTCCAGAGATTAAACTTTCATGCAGCAAGCAGCTAAATCCTTCTCACTGATCTTCCACTTACTTTCTGTTACAGTATCTACCCTGTTGGATCTTTTTAGTATTAGAGCTAAGCTATGAAAAGGGGCCTGACATGATGCCTGGCATGTTTTAAACTTATTCTAGGAGGGGGATCCTTATGAACTGCACCAGGAGATTTAAGCAAAATTTGCATTTCCACCCAATTGCACATTTTAAGTTCATTGTTAATCAGGGCATGTCTGGGAGCAGCTGCTCTTAGGCCAGCTGTGGGCAAACTACGGCCCACGGGCCGGATCCGGCCAGTTTGAAATGAATAAAACTATTGGAAAAAAAGACCGTACCCTTTTATGTAATGATGTTTACTTTGAATTTATATTAGTTCACACAAACACTCCATCCATGCTTTTGTTCCGGCCCTTCGGTCCAGTTTAAGAACCCATTGTGGCCCTCCAGTCAAAAAGTTTGCCCACCCCTGTCTTAGGCCCATTTATAATGGCATAGATAGAATTTTGGATTTTATTTAAAAACATAAGGACTGTATCAAAGACCAAATTCAATAGTTGAGCACATTCAGATAGCATCAGATTCCATCACCAAGTGGACTTATATATGAACAAAAATTGTTTTCTTTAATTTAAGGGGTTATAGCTTATTGAATTTAAAAAAACAACAATATGGGTATTTACATATAATAAAGAGCACCCTTTGAACTGTATACTCTGAGCTTTGACAAACACATACAACCATAAAAATCTCACTCTAAGCATATATAAAATATTTCCACATCTCCAAATACATACTGAATTTTAGATTGAGAATTTCACCATGGTTACAACCTTAGGAGATCATTTGGTTTTGCCCCTCATGATCTAGAACAGCGGTTCTCAACCTGTGGGTCTCGATCCCTTTGGGGGTTGAACAACCCTTTCACGGGGTCGCATAAGACCATCGGAAAAACACATATATAATTACATATTGTTTTTGTTATTAATCACTAAACTTTATGTTTAATTTGTAACAATGAAATTGGGCGTCGCCACAACACGAGGAACTGTATTAAAGGGTCGTGGCATTAGGAAGGTTGAGAACCACTGATTTAGAAGACAAGAGCCAATAAAGATAAATGTGTCTGAGTATGTTATTTTAAGAAATGTTTTCTGCCCATAATTCTAACAAGATGCTTTTTCAATCTGCTTATATTTCCTTAGCACACGAGCTTGAAACAAAATACACCGAGGAACACCAGTAAGTTGTACCTTGGACTCTGCAGTGCTGCCATGATATTGCTCACCGTTTTGGCTGCCGTACTTACCAAAAGTAAGTCATTGACCATTGTGCCTGAGGGAACAAAGTGAGGGCTCTGGAACCAAACTACCTGGGCCCAAGGAGCTTCACCCACCATGTACTTTTGACGTCACATAACTTCCCTGTTTCATAACCTTGTTCCTTTTGTTTCTTAAAAATATTGGCCTGTAAAGAAAAACGGAAATTAAGTTCTCCACAGGAGAAATAAAACACTAAGAAATAAGAGTTTGTTGGGTGGAGCTGGGGTTTGGAAGGCAACAAACCACTGCACTAAGTCAGGTTTGTTCTCTCTTCTTCCTTCCTTGCCCTCAAGACCCCGTCTTTGCTCCTATGAAGGATAATATTGTTGAGAGTCTTACAGCACTCACTTAGCGGAAGAGGCAAATGAGACATTGGATGGGAAACAGATTTTAGGCAAGGCTAGACCAACGGGTTTCAAAAACTAGCCATGCCAGCCTCCATGAAAGAACCACAACCGTCCATTTTTAAAAATCCTATATAATAAAAGGGTAAAATGCAAAAAGACTGAATGGCAGAACAACCAAACAGCTAATCAAAGTGTAATATGCTAATGATATGTTTAGGCTGCTCAACCGCTCACTATGTCATGCACTGATCACCAGGGGGAAGATGTTCTGACTGGTAGGTTAGCTTGCTGCTGGGGTCTGGCTGATCAGGACTGAGCGAGATGGGCTGGACATGCCTTGGGGCCCATCCACCATCCCTCCCTGTGAGGTCCCTCAGCCTGGCCTACACCCTCTCACAATCCGGGACCCCTCTGGGGATGTCAGAGAGCCGATTTCAGCCCAATCCTGCAGGCCACTCCCCTTGGGAGGGCGCCAGATGCAGGGTTCATGGCTGGTGAGCACTGCTGTGGCAGCGTGAGCCTCTCCCTATCGGGACTGATTGGGTGCGAGCCTGCGGCAGGCATAGCAGGGCCAGGATGAGTGGGAGTGGTAAGTGGAAGTGGCAATTAGGAGCTGCAGGCAGCGTTGGACTGTGGGTTTTGGCCCGATCCCTGCAGGCAACCCAGAGGGGCCCCACCTGTGTACGAATTTGAGCACCGGGCCTCTAGTGAAATATAATCATTAATAACTATATTAAAATAAGTTTGGGCATGTGTGAATACACTAAACCATTAATAAACATGAGATAGTTAACACAGCGGGTCTCCTTTGGGTCCTACAGAGTCAAAAGGAGTTACCTGAAACTATAGGGAAAAGTGTAATCTGAGTTTTGTTTTCTTTTTTAAAAAACCATTCTTCTAGATTTAATTTTTTCAGCACTGTCTGTTCAGACTTTGTTCATTTTAGAGTCATTGCAACCCTGGTGGAGTGACTCGATTGGCTGGAGCATTGTTCTGTACACAAAAGGGCTTCAGTTTCAATTCCTGGTCAGGGCACATACATAGGTTTCAGGTTCTATTTCTGGTCAGGGCGTGTTCAGGAGGCCATCTATTGATTTTTCTCTCTCAAATCAAATTCTCTCTCTCTCTTTCTTTCTCTCTTTATCTTTAAATTGAGTAAGAAAATCCCAACATATCCTCAGGTAGGGACTTAAAAAACGAAGTTATAGCAGAAATAATGTACATGTTTTGGAAAGGTCTCATGAATTCTTTGGCTGACGTATTTTATTTTTTCTTTAACTCCTTCCCAATTTAGAATATTTATGTGGGAAAAGAACGGTGTTGCAAATAAGGTAAGCTTGAAAGGTTTGTGTCAATGGTTTTTGATGTTCCTACTCTAATAAAATAAAGAAAAAATCCTCTCTGTTCCTCTCCTCTTTCTCCTGAACTCTCCATTTTACACCCTGGATCCTAAAAATTCTAGTTCAACGAGTGCCTCCATCGCTGTCCACACCTTCCAGTGATATTTTTAGCTTTCTCTATTTCCCTGAAACTACTACAGAAACAGCACCCCAACCCTAAGCTCTCAGAGCAATAGAACTAAATCACAATAGTGTTTGATGAAATTACATTTGGATGAGTTGTTTGGTTTGTTCTTGATTTCATTCAGTGCTTTGTTTACTGAAAGCCTATTCTATTCCAAAGAGATGAACAAAACAGACACAACATAGAAGCAAGTCACCAGGGTCCTTTTACTGCCTCTAGGCAGATAGCATGGGGGATGTAGATGAGGGTAGTGGACTGTGTGAGTGAGCCTGATGGAGAAGGAGGCCACTGGCAAAGATCTAGAGCGGGGTGGGCAAACTTTTTGACTCGAGGGCCACAATGGGTTCTTAAACTGGACCGGAGGGATGGAACAAAAGCATGGATGGAGTGTTTGTGTGAACTAATATAAATTCAAAGTAAACATCATTACATAAAAGGGTACGGTCTTTTTTTCCAATTTTGTTTTGTTTTATTCATTTCAAACAGGCCGCGGGCAGTAGTTTGCCCATGGCTGATCTAGAGGAAGACAACTCCAGGCTGAAGCAGTCCCCCATCCCCTGTCATTCAACACCCAGCATGCTCTGCTGCTTTACATTGCATACCAGGCCTCATTGGCATTTGATGTATAATTTTTATAAATATAACTTATTGTCCAGTTAAAGTTTAAATCTCCTTTACTTTCATCCACGTTCTGTGGTCATTTAAACAAACAATGGTAATGATATGAAACCACTACATACCACCAATCCCAAGTAGCCTGCTTCTTTTAGCGCAGTTAGGGCTTTAAGCAAGGTCTTCCTTTGATTCACCAGCCATCCCTCTGAGGCTGCCATTCATTATTCCTAGTTCTGTTTGTTGGATATCAATCTTTCCTATGTCTTAGTTCCATGAGCCAATCCATAGACTTTGCCTTGCACAATAGCCAACACATTGTAAGTCCTCCATAAACGTTGGCTTCTATTATTGCAATCATTCCTGCATAGCAATAAACCTGCGACATAGGTACTGTTATTCTCACTTGGTAGACTGGAAAACAGGTTCATACCACACAGCCAGTAAAAGACTCAATGTAAGGTGTTTTGGAGTCCAGAACCCATATTATAGAAGATTTGACTACATGCTTCCAACAATGGAAGGAAAAATACTCCTTACAGGCAGAAAAGCATTATTTCTGTCCTTTCACTGTCAACTTTTTTTAAACATCCACCTCTTATCAGTTAATTATTAAAGGAAATATTTATTGTAAAATATTGTAAAATATTAAAAAGAAAGGGAAAAAAACCCAAAGAGAGCATTTATAATGACACCTTTGGGTCAGCTCTTTCACACTGACTCATTTTGAGCTGTTGACACCTAAATTGATTCTCACATGTATGCCTGGTTCCTTTAATGATCTGAGTTGAGTGAAGACTCTACATTTCATATCATTTCTGGGCAGGCTCAGGTAATAAAAACCATCACTGTGTACAAATCATAAATCAGCAGCTATATCAAAACTCTACACATACTATTTTATATTTTTGGTGTGTGAGTATGTTATGAAAGTCATCTAATTCATGGCTTTCCCATTCTGACCATAAAGACACAGTAGTATTTTTGACACCATGATCCAGTATATTATTTAGATGTAATCTGCTTTTCACTTACTCATGTTATTCTTTTTGTAGCAAAGAACCTCGGACCGGAACTTCCCAAAATGGAACTGCAGTGCACTACCAAGCACAGGAAAATATTTACTTTGAGAACAATCTTTACAACGTGCCTTAAGACCCAGCGGTTCTCCAAGGCTTGAGGCCCTTTGACTGCGGAAGGCAATGACCAGATCTCACCATGTCAGTCCTTTTAAGCTCCAGGATGATTTTTCTGTCAATATTTCATGGTGTTCCAACATGTCTGTGATGTTAGTGTCTTTAGCTCTCACTGCATAGTCAACCTCATTGGTAATTAGTCTTAATTTTTTATACTAAAATTGGCTCAATTTTTCTGGTCATAGCAGAGCCCTCTTCTAAATATGAACTGAACACTTTAGAATTGTATATTCTGTTTCAACCTTATGAATTTGTATCCATCAAGAATTCTCATTGGGTAGACATGAAATGAACCAATACCTTGGTCACTAAAACTGTCACAAAGAGGGGAATAGGACTTAAAATCAGCAAATTCGATTTGGAACTTAAATGAATTCACTTGGAAGCATTTCATGATTAACTCTTTTTTTTTTTTTTTTTAAATCTTGTAATCAAAACTTTACATTTCCTAAGTTCCCCCAAAGGTTTCAAATTATGGAGGCACACAGATTTTTATTTCCTTCATGGTGAAAAAAGTCAGTGTGGTTTCACCATTAGATCTGTTTGTTCATGGCTCTGAAAATAGGAGGTTTTAAGTGCTTTCCTTGGGGCCAAGCTGGGGCTTTTAAGAGAAGAAGCTAGGCTGGTGAGCGGAGCAAGTAAATAGGTGGAGAAAATCAATGGCCATGTGATTTAACACCTGTGTGCTACTTCTGCTACAGCTGTGCCACATATAGACAACCATCAGGGATTCTGAACTAACTTTTAGAGTGATGCAGTACAGAGATAAATAAAAGGGCAAAAGAAAGGGAGAGGTTAGGGCAAAAGGCCTCTGCCTTAGAAAAGTAAGTGCAAATCTAAGAGTGCTGTTTGAGAGTGTTACTAGTTTCAATTGGAATTCTAAATTGTCCCCAAACCACTTTGATTATTAAAATTATTTTAGAAGGATGAATTTTTTTATCACATCAATTCCAATCCTGTTCCTTTTCCACAAATGAATTAAATTTTTGGTTTTGCCAAGATAGTGAAACAACACAAAAAAGATAAGAATATTTTTAGCCACCAGAAACATTTTCTTTCTTCATATCAGAAACATTTCAACATGAATAGTTCACAAGGCTGGGTAGTAATTTCAATTTGAGTAAATTTTGAAATAATTCACACTTGAGGTTCAGTGCTACCCACACTATAGTGGCCTAGAAGGCCAGAGTGCTTGTTTTTGAAGGCAAAGTTTTGGCATGTAGCTATAAAACTCTAGAAGAATAATAGCACGTCTGAAAAAAAGGTTATATGGGCAAATAATATTGTTAAGCATTGTCTACTGGGTTTCCCAAATAGGGTGAGATTAATATGGCTTATCCATTTTTGTTCAAACTACAATGTTTTTCTTTTAAATTCAAGACAACATGCAGGAGGCAGCTGATGTGTGTTGTACATTGATGTTTCTCTCTTCTCCCTCTCTTTAAAAATCAATAAACTATTCTTATAAATAAATAAATAAGCAATCAAGCTCATGTGACTGCAGCAAAGTGAATGAGGAGGTTTGGAAAGAGATTAGCTGGAAACATGGGCACTTTCTCTCACAGGGGCTGGATGCAAAGGGCCCTATGAACACATCCGTTTGAGAAGGGTCCCACTCTTAGGAACAAAACACTTTTCATGTAAAGGGTTAAACATTCTATGCACCACCAAATTATACTTTCATTTGGTAACATGCTATCTGGAAGTAAAGAAATAATTTGTCTTTTGCTCTCCCCCTAATCAAAGGCTTTGGTCAGTTGGTTTTGGACAGCTTTGAGCAGTCTGGAAATACACATCCTCCCAAGACTATCTCTTCTTTGACTCTTGATTACATCAGTTTTTTTGAGAAAATAGAAAAAAGTCATGATTTCATCTAGAGAAAAGGTAATGGTAGCCATCAAAATGTAAGGTGGTGCCTTATTGGCTTTGACTACGAAATGTCAGTGTGGTGTATCTGGGACTTAGAATACCTGCGAATCTAATTGTAAAGGTCCCTTAGAGCAGCGGTTCTCAACCTGTGGGTTGCAACCCCTTTGGCGGCCAAACGACCCTTTCACAGGGGTCGCCTAAGACCATCCTGCATATCAGATATTTACATTACGATTCCTAACAGTAGCAACATTACAGTTATGAAGTAGCAACGAAAATAATTTTATGGTTGGGTCACAACATGAGGAATTGTATTTAAAGGGCCAGAAGGTTGAGAACCACTGCCTTAGGGCCTTTGGAGCTCTGACTTCAGTGTGTGGTGGCTATTGGTGTCTTTATCCAATGTCCCCTGAGCCTTTGTCACCCTAGCCTCCAGTGTACTAGTAATTTAAAAAACCAAGATCTGCTCTGCTGGTGTGGCTCACTGGTTGAACATTGACCTATGAACCAGGAGGTCATGGTTCTATTCCTGGTGAGGGCACAAGCCTGAGTTTGTGAGCTCGATCCCCGTTTGGGGCATGCAGGAGGCAGCTGGTCAATGATTCTCATCATTGATATTTCTCTCTCTCTCTGTCCTTCTCCCCCCTCCTCTGAAATCAATAAAAAAATATTTAAAAATAATAAAAAACCAAGAACTGATTGTGTTCCATATTAGCTGAAAATTCTCCCACTGCTTCCCAGTGGGTAAAAGACCTTAGTCCGTAGTAAGCTCCTCACCACTTTCCCCTTGCCTGCTTCATGCAACCCCTCCCAGATGGACTCTAGTGGAGAGAAACTCCTCAAATGCCCACTCTCACTCTGAAGCTCAACCCATTTTTGGGGAAAGCTTGCCTCCTGTATTTTCACTGGGCATATATTTAAGTTTCAGCCCAAATGTCACCTCTTAAGCCCTGCTGGACCTCATCCCTCTAGCCAGAATTAATCTCTTGTGAACACTTCTGTGGAGCATTTTTTAGCCACTAGACAAATATGCCAGGCACGGTGCTATCGCCTAGCTTGGGTCATTCTGCATGAGGCCAGGGCCCTACTTAGCATGTGGGGCACATCTGGGTGAATTACAGACACCCCTTTTTCTGGGTGGCACAGCCCCTGAGCCAGGGCAAAGGCTTGTCAAATGGAGTCTGTCCAAACTACTAGTACAAGCATAAATTGTGACTACAGTGACCCTATAACTTAGTGCTTTAATTAGAGATGTGTAGGTTGAGGACGCTTTGTATATTGAGCTCTTTGAGGGAAGTGTATGCAGTTTCTCAGCACCCAGCTCACACATAGCAGGTGCTTAGTACATACTAATGAAAATTGGGGAATACATTGAAAGAATGTTTCCTAGAACCACCCTGTGTGTGCTGGGGAAGAGGAGGCAGGGGAAGAGCTAAATTTCTTTAAAACTTATTATGAGATAGAAAACACTCTCTTCTGGAGTCTGCGTGAACCTCAAGGATTCTCTGAGACCAGTGCTTTGCAACCTTGGCTGTACATTAGAATCACCTGGGAAGCGTGGCCAACTACGCATGCCTAGACCAAGTCAATCAGAATCTCAGCTGTGGAGCCAGAAAGAGTCTTTTTTTTTTTTCTTTTTGTTTAAAATCTTCCAAGGTGATTTCAATGTGTAGCTGAGGCTGAGAACCACTGACCTGGAAGGACTTGGCAAGGGAAGGTGAGAACTTGTGTCCTTGTTCTGTGTGAAGAGAGCTCTGCAAAACATAAAAGGTACAGACTAAAACAATATCAACAGCGGGCTGGGACAGGTGGGCAGACGCTGGGTGATAGCAGATCTTTCCTGTGCCTGGCTTGCATGGCAACAGCATTATATTGGTGGCAGCCCTGGGAAGGGAAACATGGACGCTGCCACGTGTTTGAAAGCTTCTCAGGAAGCCAGCCCGCAGCTGTGTAGCTGACTGTCCCCGAGCTTCCTAAGAACTAAACGTTTTCTTCCACAAGTTGTAAAAATAAGCAAAGAAAAAGTCCCTTTGGCCTGTGAGGGTTTGCTCTAAGGTAACCTTTTTTGTGTTATACTGTGGACTGCTGAGATGGGGTTTGCTCTGTCTGGCAAATGCTGAACATGCTGAGCCTAAAACAGTACGTACTTGGAGGATGACTGATGCACACATTTCTCAATGAACTTAATTTTTTAGAGCAGTTTAAAGCTCACCAACAAAATTGAGTAGAAAATACAGATTTTCCCAAGTAACTCAGCATGCTCATCATTAACACCTTTCCCAAGTGGGGTACATTTGGTACAGTTGTGAATCTATTCTAAGAAAACATTGTTTATATATTGATTGATTGATTGATTTAGGATTAAGAGCCACTTTATTCTTTTTTGGTTTATTTTCTTTATTTTTTATTTTTCAACTACTGTTTACCTTTGATATTATCTTGTGCTGGTTTCAGGTGTACAGCATAGTGGTTAGACAATCATATACTTTAAAAAGTGTTCCCCCAATACTTACCTGGCACTTCACATGGTTATTACAATATTATTGACTGGGTATTCATATATGCTATACTCTACATCCACATGACTATAACTAACAATTTTTTTTAAAAACCAATTTGTACTTCTTAATCCCTTCATCTCTTTCACCCAGTTTACAGTTCCCTTCTTCCTCTGGCAACAAGCAGTCCTCTCTTTGCATCTATGAGTCTGTTTCAATTTTGTTTGCTTGTTCATTTTGGAGAACTTTTTGTTAGATAATCAGGGAATTTTATATGAACTGCAAGAATTAGGTGCAATTGGATAGTGTAAGATGAAGATACAAGGAGGGGCATCGTAATGTTTGCAGTAATTTTTTTAAAGGCCAGAAGCCACTGCAGGCCTGCACTCAATTCTAGAACTCTTCCTGGCAGCCGGAAAGGACTTCTTAGAGGGAGGACAGTAAACTCGGCCCAGTCAGGGGCAGGAAGTTGGCAGAGTGACCCTAGCAAATGTCCAGTGAGAGAGCCCTGGCCAGAATGTTAGCTGAATTTTTGTTCTTTTTTAGCAGCTTTATTGGAAGATAATTCACATACCACATTCTGTTTCCTAAATATCAGTCCTGAATCCACGGTTAATTGACTCTGCCTTACACTTGAATATGGGCATTTGCTGGATGTTATTAGTTATGTGGGCAGGCATATCAAGGGAAAATATCAAGTTCATGAAACATGGTTTATAGTGGAACAATCTGGAACTTAGGCACTTGTGTTTTCATTTGAAATTACCAATCCTGTGCCTTTGGGCAAATCAAGCTTCTCAGGTTTCAGTTTCTCTGTCTATAAAATGAAGAGGTTGACTACGATCTCTTGAGTAACTGTGAGCTCTGTGGTGCTATGGAAGTGCACACGCTGAACAAGCTGGAGGTTTACATTAAATGCATTTGATGGCACAAAGGTGGTGACAGGGAAATGCAGGAAGGACAGACAGAAGAAAGCCATGGGTTTGGAGAAACTCTTCAGTCTGTGATCTCACTTGCCTTTTGTAAAGAACCCTTGGCGGCTAAGTTTCTAAGACAAACGTCACTCTCCCAGGGCTGAGACTGCTTGGGTCTGAGATGTTAGCTCAGTGATGGGGAGTGTGGCAGTAATTCAATATTTTCCATCAATTGATGCCTGAAGCCTCTGTGGTGGGTGGGGAGGGGACGTGTGTATATGAGATGAAATAGAATATTGAGGTCCCTTAATTTTACCCACAGGAGGGGAGAAAGAGCATTGGTGACAAGACTGTGTCTTCCCTAAGTGGAAGAGTTTAAAAGTTCAGCTAAAAGTAAGAATATTAACACAAATTCCTCTTTTGGTAAGTTTTATAAATGAGGAAACAGATCCATCAAGGTTATATGATGTAGGCCAATTTGAGTTAAAGCAAGGCTAAGAATTGGGTTATGATGGAGTGGAAGGGGCCCATAAAGGTAAGGGTAATGAACATGCCATTCATTGTGATATTCTCCAGCTCCTGGTCCAGTGCCTGACACATAGTAGGTGCTTCATAAGCAATGGTCATCACTGACCAATTGACTGACTTTCTGAATGAATGCATGCTTCCACGTTGTGTTCCCTGGTAACCAGCTGGACCAACACATGATCCATTTCAAGCAGAGGAAAAAAATAAATTGATATATCTATGATGTAAACAGTATAACTGAGTAAACAATGATATGAAATGTCTCTAATTCATAATATTAATTGAAAAAAAAGAGAAGAACAATGTGTATAGTCGATTTCTTTTTGTCTGTATGTGTAATAGGGTATGGGCCTAAACAGAGGCTTCTTAATGTATAGACTCTAGGAAGGGGAGACAGGAAATGAAAAAGAGTGGAGAATTTATTTTCTATACACATTTATACTGTTTGACCATGTATCTATATTATTTAACAGGTAATTAATTTTAAACCTCAAAATAGCCAAACATTAGCTTCTTATTCAAGCAAGCGATTTTATTCATTATGTGCCTGGTGCTTTAAAAAAAAAGGAGATAAAAAGAGAATGGTGTTAGCACAATTGTCCTTCATTGATGAACTGATATCTAGTCCAGAGAGCTGAACTGTTTTCCTGGCCAAAAATGAATGTTTCATTTTCTGACTATTTCCATCAGCCCTGCCCTCCATTGTTCACAGGACTGGACCACAAGTCTCTTCTAGAACATTGGTTCTCAAAGTGAGGTTCCAAGACCAGCCATGTCAGCAATTCCAGGGAATTTGTTAGAAATACAAATTTTTCTAACCCCAGACTGAGTAAATCAGGAATTCTAGTAATTGAGCCCACACATCTGTAGTTCTTAATATATATATATTATTTCAGAGAGGAAGGAAGAGGGAGAGAGAGATAGAAACATCAATGATGAGTGAGAATCATTGATTGACTGCCTCCTGCACACCCCCTACAGGGGATCAAGCCTGAAACCTGGGCATGTGCCCTGACTGTGAATCAAACTATGACCTACTGGTTAATAGGATGAAGCTCAACCACTGAGCCACGTTGGTCTGGCCACACATCTGTGTTTTAACCAGACTTCCCAGTGGTTCAGATGCCCCT